AAATGCCGGAAGACGAAAAGGAGTCACTCCACTGCATAGTTTTGACCTGCCCAGGGAGTGGCCGTAGACCCTGCAGACCGAAATTGCCGCGGCTCTCCCTCCACACGCCGGAGCAGGACAGCCGCGACGCCACATCTCCCCAGCTCATTCCACAATTGCTCCTTCGCAAACGCTTTGCCAAGCACGGTCCTTAACTCCCTGTCAAAAGGGTTCAAGGGCTTCGAGAGCCCCTTCGCGGCGCAAAGCGAGCGGGGCTCTTCGGAGGAAGTCGCCACGCAGAGGCCGACGGCTCTCTTGAAACCAGATTAAATTGTGGCAGGATGCAGACTGCCAGGAGCAGCCGAAATAGCCTCCTCTGACCTCAGAGAAGCACATCCCCTATGGACGGATACACAAAGAGCGCCTTCTGCTCGACAGCTCCCAAAGAATTGCCTTCATGCAGACACCTATGGGGCTCCGAGAGACGCCTTCTCTCTGGAATAACGGCCACTGGGATCCGGTTCTGGTCCGGAGGGCCAGCACCAGCCCACCCAGTCCTGGGGCTGATCCCTCGGCCCACCCAGCAAATCCAGGCAGGCCTGGTGAAGCCCCCTGCTGGGGATCAGCGCCTGTTTGCGGCCCATGCACCCAACCGGGTTGTAAGCACTGCCACAAAATGGCTGACCCGTGGCAAAGGACAAGCAGGTTGCTCCGAAGACCCGGGGGAGGCAAAGCCTGGTGCGGACACCTAGCACACCTGCCAGCTCCCCTGAAGTCACACTTTCCCACACCCACCACTGCCCCCAAAAACCAGCCATGACGAAGAAAGTAGGGGGATCCACCAATCGAGGGGAGGTGTCGGGCAGCGTGCCCACACCACGAAAGGCCCCCTTTGGGCAGGCGGGGCTGCGGAGGAACGACGAACGGACAGTTGGCCTGGCCCAAAGGTACACAGTTTTGCCCCCAACCTGCCTTCAGTCACCTCTCCTTTGCCCGGGGAACTCTCAGAAACAGCCTGCTGTGCTGCAAGCCATGGATTCAGCAAGCCGGCCTCCTTGAGAGTAAAGGGTGGGGAAATGGACTCTCTCTTCAGCTTTGGAAGCCGTTGCCCGGAGCAACCGAGGAGGCAAGTGGGGGCTCCTGCTCCGCACGGCGGGCAACCGCAGACGGCGCCCACCCCCAGGAGCCCCCGTTCCGGCTCTCAGCCTCGATTCCTGCGCATTTTGAAGGGTCCAGACACGAAGCCGCTTGCTCCAAACAGGCTCCTGCTCATTTGCCAGGAAAAAAGCGACTGCATCCAGAGAGGAGGTGAAGCTCTCTCCTTCTGGAGAGCGACCCAGGGGGAGGCCTGGAGGAGCCGGGGGGCCCCCCTGCCATGCACGGCCAAGCGTGTGGGTGGCCGGATGAGTCACCGCCTTCGCGGGCCGCCTTCACACACGAGGAGATGACAGGCCGGCTCCCAGGGGCTCCGCTGCTGCCTGCCCAGCCAGGATTTAGCAAGTGGAAGACGCGCTCATCACTGCTGATTTCACCCAACGCCCGGATGGCAACTGGCTTGCATTCCGCGGGAAGGGGGGGGGGGACTGCGGACGGGGCTGCGGGTTTCCATCCCAGATGCAGCGCTGAAATCCTGACACAGACGCTGCTGCTTCCCCTGTCACAACGGACCGCGTTCTCCGTTTGCTTTCCTCTCCTGAAGGAAACCTTGGCCGGTGTTTGGTGCAAAGGCAGGAAAGATTGTTCCTGAACAAATAAATATATTCTGTGCCAACACCTTGTAGGCCTCTTCATAGAATTATCATATTATGAATAATGCCAGGTGCCCTGAACTTTAGACACGGAGTGTGCATATGCTAATTTGCCTCTTATATGTTATTTTTATATCCTACCTTTTTCCTCTTGTGAGGAAGCCAAGGCGGCTTGTGTGATGCTTATTCCTAGTCCCAATCCTCCTCTCCATTCTATCCTAGAAGAACCCTGTGAGGGAGGCCAGACTGAGAGTCAGTGCCTGGCCCAAAACCGCAAGTGGGCTTCATGGTCGACCAGGGACCAGAACCCAAATCTCCCCGGTCCCAGTCCAACTCTCACTGTTACACCACACCGCTGGCTTGCCCATGGTTCGGTAATCCTTTCAAACAACCCTGCAAGGCAGGACAGTCTGTTTCAGATGGGAGGCCTCAGGGAAGAGAGTGAGGAGGTGGAGAAATTCAATTTTGCTTCAGGCAGGAAGGACCGGACTTCATTTCGGAAAAGCCTTTGGGGCCGGCGGTGAGCAGGGCAAAAATACCCCGCGGGTGTCGCTTAAAGCTCTTCTGCCAGCAACTGACCTTTCCGTGGGTCAGTTTAAATGGGGCAGGTGAGACCAGGTCCAAGCAAGAAAACCAGCTGGTGGAAGGAGCCACCCTGGAAATCCTGGCGGCTGGATTTGATCTCAAGTCCAGACCATTTTAAGATGTGCTCTCATGGCTTTGCATTTTGAGGCACTGGAATGACGAAGCTCCTGGCCTGCCTTAAGAACAAGCTTCTGGCCGGGGCGACTCACCCGAGCAGCAAGCAGGCTGAAGGGCTGCCTGTATACACAAGCAAAGCGCAACTCAGCGCAGCCCCTGAAGCCCAGTATTGCTCTTCGGTGCTCTCGTGTCTTGCAAGCAGCGGAAAATGTCCAACCGCCTGTCCCTTCGTGGGGATCTCTCTCCAGGGCCCCCTTGCCACGTCTGCCGTGAAGGGACCAGGCTTACAAGCCGAGAGTCTGTGCTGGTCCAAAGTCACCCTGCTGGCTCCGTGGCTGAGAGGGCCAGAACCCAGTAGCCACGACACCACGCTGGCTCTCTTGTCCTCTTGCAGCTCTCGTGGAAGGCAGTCAACATTCGGGACCCAGCCTTTTCATTGGGTTAAAGCGAGCGATCTGGCTGTTGCTGATGAGACAACCTCATGCTCTCGCTGGGGCACTGACCGTGCCTGTGGGCGTCCCCAAAGGGGAACTGGCCCGATTCGTGGAGCGGCTGTTGGTCACGGCAGCCAGAGGGGCCCTCCCTGCCCAGAGGGTCTCCTCACACCCGGGCGGCCAGGGCTGAAGAGGCTGGAGAACCCCGGCTGTTCTAATCTGGCAGCAGGTTCCTCAGGTCCCACTGCTTTGGGAGGCCTCTGTGAGCTCCTGGACCTATTCCTGGCTAAGGTCCAAGGGTCATGGCTGGGCTTGAATGGATCATTTCAGAGCTACCACTTCTTCTGTGGGGCTCATTTTTGGATGCTTCTGAATGCACATCTAAAAAGCATAAATGTCAATGTTTGTTTACCGCCGCTTGTAAGCTGCCACAAAACTTCTCCAAATAATAAAGGATTGGGAGAATGCAAAACAACAACAAGCTTACTAAGTAACTAACTCCAGATTGTGATCTGCAGTCTGTTCATATTAAATTTAAGTTGGCACTTGGAAACAAAACCAAACCGTCCCCCATGATCAGACGGAGCGGCCTGACTTGGTTCCAAACAAATTCCACTTCGACTCACCGGGAATATCCGGCTTCAGCTGTGCTCAAAATGGCCTTCTTCCGCTCTCCATATGAAGATGGCAAACCCGACACCTGGGGTGCAGCAGCAGCCCCGAAGGAAGGACCGGCCTCTCCTGGGTCCTGCTGATTCAGTCCTCCAGGTACGCACACCGAATTCATTCAGTCCTCTGGAGCACTGAATAGGACACCTGGTCAGGACCCTGACCAGACTGGGGAGGGATAGCTTGGCTCTGCGCTTTGCAGCCCCACGACAGGAACCGTCTGCACCTGCAGCCCAGGGTCTTCTCCCCAGAGAGGGGCTGTGGGGACACGACCCTGTCGGTTGGCCACCAAAGAAAACCTGCCTCCATCTAGCTCTTTGTGTTGCGGAAGGGCATGAACGAAAGTGCAAGACTGCACTGTGCCCCATCCCCACAATACACCTGGAGTAAGAAGCGATCCGGCCCAGAAGCTGCTCTTCCTCTCGGGGGAGAACTGAGGCCAAGGCATTGGCACGCCTCTCACTTGCAAAGCGTTTCCAAAATAGCCCCTGAGCAGGACGCATTCTCCGGGGGGCGCGTGTCCCCGTTATCTCAAAAGGCCGACCTTGTGATAGGGGTATTCTTGGCACATTGGAATCAAAGAACGAGGCGCCACATCAGGGCCACACAAGCCGGTCTGCTCTGCCATCTGAGGGCGAGCACCCAAGAACATGTGTGGGGGGAGTGCCAAAAAGCTCACTTTGCCCCCCGTCAGGTCAAAATCCTGTGGACTTATCCCGATTCTGTCTGGAGAGCAGGTGATCCTGCATTCCAGGATGTAACTGGGCCACAATGTACTTTCGCTCCATGGTGGAGAAACCCACACCAAGCCCCCGGACAGCTCCCATGCACTTAGCAGGGGCATTCGCAGTGGGGTCTCCCAATGGAGAGGGTCCCACTGGATACAATGTGTCTGCCACCATGAATCCCCCCCACCCCGGAATTCTCCATGGCCTCACCTTGGCTCCCCAAAGCTCCCTTGGGCTCCAAGTTTCCACTGATGAGTAACCCTTCAAGGAATTCCCGCCCCAGCCTTGGCCCCCACCCAAGAGTTCCCTTTCACAGCTGCACAAGCAGCAGTCTCCGGATTTTTAGGTTTGCACGAGCAGCAAAAACATGGAATGCATCCCGAGTGAAAATGCGAGAGCCTGACAAGAATTCGGGAATAGATGAGGGTGGAGAGAGAGTAGGACATAAATAACCACATTCTCCAAGTGTCATTTCCCAAACTGCAGGAAGAACCAGTTCCTTTAGAGTGAAAGAACAGGAAGGTTATGGATCAATGTCTTTGCAGGCCCATGAAATGCAAATTGGATGAGTACCTCCCTTGCACTGAATGGGCCATTCAACTCTGGTGTGACATTTCTTGCACACACACACACACTAACGGACTTAATTGCCTGATTAACATGCAACTCGCCAAGCACTGGTCACACAAGATCACACTTCCGTGGAGGAATTTTCAAGTAAATCTTCCATTAGCACATACCTCAACAAGAGCCCACGAGAATGTCAGGAATTCCCTCCAAAAGGAGCAAAACGACTCAACACCATCCTAGGATTATGGAATACGCCCCGGAAGACTTTTTAGCCATTTATCCGATCGGTTGTCTTGGACCGGCTTTTGCCAACAGCTGACGGTTTCCTCCGTGCGTCTTTTCTGTATAAGCCCAGGTCTTCAGTAGCTTGGGATCTTCAATCTGACAGGACTGTCTGCCAATAATACTCACGCAAATATTTTCTACAATAAAATCCCGCAGGCGGCCCTTTCAGCCTGTGCAGTGCACCTCATTCCCAGGGCTGGAAATTTCAGACCCGCGGCTGCCAAAGTTGGCTTCGCTGAGGTATTAGAACAAACAGGCAGGCGGTTCTCGGGTTGCAGAGCTATTTCTGTCTGCCCGACAACCCGGGCGTGAGCTACACCTCTCAGGCTGAACAAGCAGCCTCGGGGGAAGCATGCAGTGGCGCTCCACTGACACCTTTCCTCCGAGGGCCCGTCCACCTGCAACAGGCCACGAGCATGCGAGGGCATTGGGAGTATCCACGGAGCCACGCTGCTGCCCGCGAGGGGACACGGCCCCTGCCCGAGGCCGGCCTGCTTCTTGGGAGAGCTTGGCCGGCCCTTCCCAATCAGCCGGAGCCTTTGGCTCGACTGCAGCCACACGTCTCGGCGCTTTGCCAGGGCCAGGCCCGCCGCTGGCTGGAGCGCGTGGCCAAGGTGGGGCGTCCACATCCATGTCTTGGTGGATTTCCCTGGTGGCCTCCCTTGGGGCCAGTCACTGCTCTGAGCGAGGGATACAACCAACTCTCCGAAGGCTCTGTCGCCGAGGCAGGGGACGGAAAAGGAAACCGCTGGCCGGGTATGGGATCCACTGTGCCATTTTGCAACCCTCCACCTTCTGTGGCAGGAGCAGCTGCAGCGGACCGGGCAGGGTGAGCAGGGACGATGGGCCAGGAGGTCCTGCGGCTGGCTTGGACACCCGAGGGGAGCCTCGGACAAGCCGTGCCCTGGATTCTTCGCTTGCACCACAACAAGGCCTGGTGTTTTGGCCCCAGCGTGAATCAGAGAGGAGGATGGCTCCGCACTGAGAGGGAAAACGGGAACAACAAGGCCTGACCCTCTTGTGAGCACCACTACACGTGGGCCAAGCCCCGGCTTCCCATCACAAAACGGCATTACTTGAGCATTCGGTGCTGAAGTCGAAGAGAGCAGGAAGGATGCAGGGCCCGCCAAAGCGGTTCCCACCATGCCTGACTCCAGGCACAGGGAATCCCCAGAATAACTCGCCTCCAGCTGGAAATAAGCTCGCACGGAGACAGCCAGGAATAAACAGGTTTCTGTCTAGCACCGAAGGCATCAGTCCAGCACCAGAGAACACCCAGTGCCCTCGTTCCACAGGAACTGACTCTTGCCAATAGAGCAGTGGGGCTACAGGGGAGCCCCGTTCAGCAATATTAAAATAGATAATAGTTTAGCTATTTAAATTCATGTCCCTTTTTGCAGCCATATCACCTTGCGGGCCATATTTGGCTTGGGGTGGCCCACAACTCCAAGACTCTTCCTGTGTGCACGATGGCCCAGTTCTGTACCACCCCTCTTGCTTCTGCGCATGTGAGTTCTCTTTCCTGATTTAAATTGCCGGATTTCCTCATTTAACTTTGTTAAAGTTCACTCTTATTTTCTGCTCAGCCTTCTATTAGACTTGTCTGAATTTTGTTTCCGCCTTCTAAGAAATTAGCTATCCCACCCAAATAGCAAGTCATCTGCAAATCTGTAAGTGTGAGAAATATGTTCCCACGCTTCCTATCTGACGTGGTGACACCAGGATTACACCATGCTGACGATGCGACTTCTCACGGGAAAGGCCTCGGGCATCTTCTTTTCTATGGAGGCTGCAGCACCAATTTACGGCAAAAATTCCGGCCTCACTGGAGCCACAGGTTGGCTGTAGCGTGTGTGGCCTCCGTCAGGGAATGGCTGAATTGGCGATGCTTGTGCCACCAAAAGCAAAGCCGCCGCCGCCGATCCGGACAGCCATCTAATCCCACACTGTGTGCCCAGCCGGATTCCTCCTGTTCTTCAAGCCCGGGACGGAAAGAGTTCTTCCGTTTGCCTTGACTTTTGTAACCAGCCTCTGGACAGAGAGGCTTACTCTGGGAATGTGTGGCTGGACTGCAATGCCCATCAGCCCCAGCCAGCATGGCCCGTTGGTGGGGGATAACAGGCATTACAGTCACTCCCCATCTCTGCTCTGTGCAGAGATTCCATCTCGCTGCCATAAGCTGATCCTTGCAAATGACCTTCCACGAAGTGCCGTCTGTCCTGCCTCTTCCAGAGGAATCCCTTTCGGGGGAGGACACGAGTCCCTCTGGCGAAGGACTGCAGGGAAGCTGCCAGCGCCCAGCGTCTCCGAGATGGGCCATGAGCTCTCGGCCCTCAGAGGGAACCAGCTCCAACCCTCACGGCAAGATTCCTCTGCATCTGTTTGGCCCCTTCCCGGGGACAAAGAGCACAGTCCATTTCTGCTGTCGTCAAGCCCGAGACTGTATTTTTAAACCTTTGCACAGATGCTGGTTTTTATTAAGGTTCTATATGGCAGAGTTAACCTTTTAAAGGGCTCTATTGCATCTCGTTATGTTGCAGTCCATCGTCTGCATTGCTATGGCCAGCCCAGAGAGCTTTGGCTATCGGATGCCATAGAAACACGCTAAAATAAAGGGATAAACCAGTGACTAAGTCTCAGCTCATGGGCAGGCACCTTTCCCAGTGGCCCTGATGCCTGGCCTAAAGCTGGCCTCGGGGTGGGGTTCTGAAGGACGAGGCTGCAGCGCCTTCAGCTCTAGGGCCCCGGGGATGGAGCAGAGACGGAGGACCGGCACACCTGCCTCGCACCCCCCGCTCAGCTCCCTCTTCCCTCGACCCCCCACCACTCGGCTTTGGACGGCCCACAGCCCTTGCTCAGTCCCGGCACGGCCCCGCCGGTCTGGCGGCTGAGTGCAGCAGGCCAATTATGACCTCATGTTCACTCCTGGGCCGGGGAAAAGCAGGCCAGCCACGGAGAACGCACGACAGGGACGGTCCCCTCTCCGTGCCTGGCGCTGGCGCTGCTCTCTCCCTGCTCTCCGCAGGCGGCTGTGCTGCATCACACAGGGCAAGTTCGCACGAGTCCAGCGCCCCGGAGAATTAGCAACGGGCCCGGCCTGCAGGGCTGCGCCAGGAGTCAGAAGGGTGGAGCAAACCCCGAATGTCACACTCCCTTCAGGATCTTTACTGGAGCGATGACAGAGTGGCCTGGAGCCAGAGGAGGACATCACCAAGCTGGAGACGAGCGAGTCGAGGACCTGGGTGACAAGGACGGTGCGGCGGTTCCACAAGGGCCAACGGGCGATGCTTGTCATAAACAGGACGGCAAAACAGGGAGAGTCTGTGCCTTCACACTGGGGAGCGATCTGCGCAGCAACTGGCCGGACCAGAACCCCTCGTACTTCTATCAGCTGATTCGGCATCCAAAAAGTGATCTCAGCCTGGCTTGCTCCGGGATGTAAAAATTTATATTGCCTGCGATCCACTGCCCATCAATTTTTAATCCTGTTTGTCTCAGGCAATCTGGCAACCCCATGAAAACAAGTTCCTGCGATGGGAAGTGAACAGCCAAGAGTCACGGAGAGAGTCAGTGGACTTTCTGGGGCGGAGCTGCCATTCTCTGCTCATCTTCGCTAGGGCGTTTGCACCACACAGGCAGTCCGAAGAGGGCTGCAGCGGGCTCTTGTACAAACAGCCATTCCCACTGTGGACTCATGCCTGGCCCCTGCTCTCTGCACATGCTCCAGCGCTATCTAACCTCCATCCCCCAGTACCTGTCCCTGATACACCGCAGTGGAGACGGTACCCAACACGACTCTGCAAGGCTTGACTCTGGCTAGACCACACGCCATCCTCTGTTTTAGCATCCTCGTCACCCAAGGCACTGCTGGCACGAGGAGCGCTATGCTGCCCTTGGGAAGCGGCCCCTGCCCGGTACTTTACTGACCTGTGCAGAACCCACGTTCCTTGCAACTGGACTGCTGTATGATGGAGCTTGCAAAGAACCTCTGATTAGGAGGAGACCCACGGGAAAGAGGAGGTGGGCCGACCTCCAGGTGAAAACACCTCTTGCTTCTGCAGTGTTCGACACCCACTGCCAGTCCTGTCCCCCAGATTTCCTTTCTAACCATGACCCCTCCCTCCAGACTCCCCCCCTCCCCTCCAAACTATTCTGCGTTCTTCGGACTCCTTCCCTTGGGCTTCTTGGGGTTGCTTCTTCTGCATAGGATCTCCTAGCCCCAAACAACTCAGTTGGAAACTCTCTGGCTCTCCTGTCCTCCTTCACTGGGACTTGAGGGCAGTTCAGCCTATCAAAGGGACTTTGCCATCATAACATCTCTTATAAACCAAATCAGCGCTACCCCTCTGCAGCACGTGGGTCCCGGAACCATCATCCGACCTGCCCGCAAGAGCCTGCAAACGCCACAAATGACATGACACAATCCTCACGAGGAAAGCAAGCAAGCCGCACCCTCCTCCTGCAAACACGATCTCTCCAAATCATCTGTTTGCTCCCAGATGGAACCAGGGTGGGACTTCTCCAGCAAGGATCTGTGTCAGCTGGGCAAGGTGCCATGCCCAGAGGCTGCTGTGCTCTGCCTGCAAGCTGGCTGACTTGTGGACGGTGGTGCAGCTTCTTATGGGGTCTGAGCGCAGCCCGAGAGCAGCTTTCCGGAATCCCAACAGTGCGCTCTTTCTTCTCCACACCCATAATTCCACAGACATCAGGCATCCTCGAGGGTCAAAGATGGCTTTGTGTATTGTGTGCCTTCCAAAAACGAGAGCTGCTTCTTGTGAAATCGACCAAGCACGAAGCGATGACGAGGGTCGCACTGCCGTCCGTTCTGGTGGCCTCCACAACTTCTTGCAAATTCCAAGACAGGTCCAGTGACTTTTTCAGACCGGCCGGTGCATTTTCTTCCCTGCCTCCCCAGGATTCCCTCTTTCCTCCCCCTGCCTGTGAGTTTGGTCTCCACACCTACAGAAGCAATGTCCCTCCGATGACTTTTAACAGAACCGGGGAAAGGGTCCACGGCTGCAAACTGGATGTCTGCCCCACACCAGGGATCCTCTTCCTGCTCCTCAGCTGCATTTAAGATCTAGAGACCTGGACCACTTCTGCTGATTTTAACAGGGATGGGGAAAGCTGATCCCAGCCCCACCTCGCGGGGGGGGGGGGGGTGGTCTTCGCAGGTGCTGCTGGGGTTCTGCAAATCCGCAACACTGGAGCTATCTGGAGTTTCCGAAATGCTGTTTGG